CCACTGACCTATGTGATATATAAGATTATTAAGAATAAAGTGGTGTGGTGCATGTCTTCCTGATCCCCAGGCAACACCGGGCCGCCCTCATGATCTGTTTCATCCCTACTGTGTCACTGTACAGCTCCTCTGGTGCACTGATACAGCATTTTGCTACTCTGCTGTGGTGTTGGCACTCTGGTCCAGCACTTTGTGAAGGAGTACATGAGAAGATAACAGTTTCTGTTGAACCCGCTCCATCAGAACATCAGCGTGGATCACACTTCATTTTAAAGTCCCCATAGATAACTTACGAATGCTCAAACGGTAAACAGTTTTAGGTTTAGAATGAGGTTTAGGTTTTGGGTTAAAAGTAAATTTAAGGTTAGGTCTAAGTTTATGGTTAGCTTTAACAGAATCTGTTCCATCCAAGCATCTACAGTGGACTCCCAGAAAAAGGTATTATTGAGCACTGATCATCTCTCTTGATAACTACATTAACCACCTGTGGTCCAGGGAAGTTCCAGCTTCTTTCTGACCAGGTCAGCAAGTGCTGACCACAGGCTACAGCTTAATAACAGCAGTCACTTTCATCTTACATCTCTCATGAATATCAGCGCTCCTTATTTCATGCTACCAAGATAACCAGGTACCTCTAACAGCTCTTTTAACTTTGCATTCTCCCTGGTCATTCCACCACCACAGCTCTGCCACCACTTCTCTATCGTTCACAAGCCAGCTGCAATAGAATTTAATTTGAAGATAAAAAAGATAAATCTTAATGTATGTTGAAGCAATTTAAAAAAAAAATACACAAAATATTTTAAAAATTATTTTTAATTCTAATATTTTTTGCCCTCAATAATCATTGCATGAAAAAAAGCATAACTATCAGAGCATCAGTGTCAGACAGAGTGACAGTGTATGATTTTAGCTGTATTTCCACTCTCAAAGAGTTTGTACTCTTCCAGTTTTAAACAGTTTGTCAAAATTTTAAACAGAGACAAAAGAAGCTTTAAAATCACACTTTATTAGCAGACTTTCCTTATGCTGTTGTAGGCATTGCATTTAATGTAATTGCTTATGATGTCAAGCAAGCAAAAATTGCTTTACTTATTACTATGTAGCAGGAATATGGGGAGGATTGTTTAACTTAAATTTCTAACATTAATAAAAAATAAAAAAACAATAGTAAAAAGTTTGTGCATAGCAAAAACCCATGTGAGCTGTTTTAAAGTAGAATTTGTATTTTCATTTCATTTTATTTATTTTTTTGTTCAAGAAATGTAAATAAAATTGACAGTGAACAAATTTCAGTCTGGCAGACTATGACATTGCAGTTAATGTATAAGCATAGTGGCTTTGAATGTAATTTAGCTGAAAAGTTTCACAAGTACTATCACAAAGTATATGAATGATATCTTTAGAAAAACAAATAGAAAGCAAAGAAACAATATAAAAATAACAACAGAACATCTGTTAAACCTGAGCAGATGCATTATTTGGCTCTCTGTCTGATGGTCTATCCCTCTTTCTCAGACACCTCTACCACATCGTCGTAGTCTGAAAGTCAAACAAGAATAATTATACTTTAATACTGTGTTAATTGAACTGTTGTTAAATTAGTGACCAACCTCTTAAACACAGGAATGACTCCATGTGTACATCTTTGTGCTAAAGCCCTTTGTGTATGTAATCTTACAGTGATGCAAATCCATGTTTAACTAATAATACTCTGTAATAAGGTTTGCAGGAGCAAGAAAAAAACAAAATCAATCTGTCTCCACCTCAATAAGTCCTGTAGACTCACCTGTTACTCCTCCTAAATCCTGCCCAGGAGTGATGACATCATCATAGCTCTCGGGTGTGTACACTGCACCAACGTATGTTGAAAAATACCCATGAGAAATGTGTTTTTTTAACCGCTGTTTGTTAAAGATGTGTTCACAATGACTGTTCCATTTTTAGAGAAACAAACCTGTTGTAATGTGTGGATTCTCTCCAGCAGGAATGGCATCATCATAGATTTCAGCCTTGTTCTCTGAAAAATTGTAAAAATAAATGCCAGCATCAGTGTACTTAAGTTTACAATTTGGTCACATTAAAAACAATATTTCAGGATAATGTTTGGAGGACAATGCTAACTACTAACTCCTCTATTATTCCTTGTACCGAGACTCGTTATTCCACACAAATCAAATCACTGTGGAGATCAGCTTTACCAGATCATGGACGAGTGATTTTGAAATAGGCAAATTACAAGATAGGAACATACTTGCAAATCTATCTGGTGTCTGACCAGCGGTGATGACATCATCATAGCTCTCTGGGGTGTTTTCTGTTCCCACCTCTCCTAAATCACATAAGAAGCTGTTTTTACAAAATAGTTTAATGATGTGAATCTTTAAAGTTATCTTTATAAAGGCACCCACTTTTCAGGCCACTGGTGGTGGCATCATCATAATATTCAGCTTTTTCCTCATTCACAGCCTTTGCTGGAAGAGAAAGAAGAAAGTTCATTTCTCCACTCATTTTAAAATATTTATTCTAAAAGATGCTTCTAGGTATGAATAATCTCAGAAGCCCAAATAATAAAATGATCTTAGCAATATACAATACAGCACTATTACACTGCTAAGACAAAGAAAACAAAAAGAAAGTGCTGTGTTGTGAATGCCTGGAAGCACTGGCTTATGAACTTATTAGTTAATGAGTATTTTTACAATTGCATTTTTAATACTTGTCAGTGGAATTCTGGTCCTCTTACCTGAGAGAAGCTCCTCATCCACATCCTCATATCCTGAATGCTGTTCTTCAGAGAGGATACTTCCTGTTAGAGGAGAGCAGAACAGTCATCAAACACGTTCAGGGTGCTAAATAAAACGGAACAAATCTCTCATTAATTACATTGAACTGTGTAACTGAGAGAAAGATGTAATATTTGTTCAGGCAGTAGAGGGCAGTGTTAGAGACAAACACTCTCACTCTTCCCTTCCTGTGTCTGTCTGGATGGTGCAGTCACTCACTCAATCACTCACTTCCTCATCTTTCACATAACAAAACTGCTACATCATGCTTACCATTTCTGCCACACTCTCTCTACTCTCACCATTTCTGTTTCTCTCTTTTCCTCTTATGTCTGTCTGTTTCTTTATCAGTCTCTATTACTGTTCATTTTATTACAAACACTTGTAGCAATATGGCATTCCGTACTGATTAATAAGTAGCCAGTAAATGTATAGTATTTTCACAACACATTTACCAAGTTATCATACACTCATATTAGCAGACGACAGAGTAACATGCAACCAGTCATGTCCTTTGGAAAGAGGTGATTTGTAGCCACAGTTCAGTACCAAGTATGAGGGCAATGGGTGAAAAACCGAGTTGAGACTTTCTAAACTTTATGCAAACAAATTATAATGTGGGGGAGTGACAATATAAATGATTGTCTCAAACAAATTTCTTAAACCAAATATACTTATTCCAAATATGCTTGCAACGCATTCCAAAAAAGCTGGGACAAGATAATGTTTACCGTTGTATTACATCACTTTTCCTTTTAACAGCACTTAGTAAACATTTGAGCATTGAACACACCAATTGATACAGTTTTGAGAGTGCATTTTTTGCCATTCTTCAGTTACTCTGATTACGAAGGCATGCTGTTATAACACATGCAGAATGATTCTTGTGTTGTTATTTTGAAATAAACAAGGACATCCCTGGAAAAGATCAGGGCATCTACAAGGCAGCATATGTTGCTCAAAAATGTGTATATAGCTATCAACATCAGTGGTGCCTTCACAATGTGTTACCCATGCCATTGGCACTAATACACCCCCTCCATATCACAACAGATAATGGCTTTGAACTTTACAGTTGTAACAGTCTGGATGGTCTTTTACTGCTCTGTCACAGTGTCTATTATTTCTATAAACAATCTGAACGTTTTACTTGTGAAACCACAGCACATGTTTCCACTTTGCATCAGTCTGTGGACTTACATTTCTCATGGATGAGAAGGACCCTCTGTTGGATGCAAATGGACAATTTGAAAATCGTATACATTTTCAGGGGGATTCAAGGCAGGAGATAGCTTTGGCCATGCAAGTACCATCTTCTTTTTTAGAAATCAGTCTTGAGTTATTGTGGCTGTATGTTTGGGGTCATTGCCTTGTTGAAACATCCACCTTCTTCCCTTTCCAAGCCAATGAGATAAAATTTTCCTCTGATGTAATGCATGTAATGCCCATGTGCTGTTTGCAAAGAACCAGCACCATATCATGATGCTCCCACCTCCATTCTTCACTATGGATATTGTGTTCTTGGGATCATGCGCACATCTTTTTTTCATCAACCATGACTAACTGAATCATTGCCAAAGCTTTCTATTTTTGCCTGACCAGACTTCACTGTTACAAAATAGCTCTCATTTGTCTAAATGCTGGTGTGCAAATTTTAGCTGTGCATCTCTGTGCTTCTTTTTAGCAGAGGAGTTTTACATGGGGTATAGGAATGGAGGTTACCCAGGAGTTCTCACAACCCTTGCAGATAACCACTGTAGCATTGTTAAGGTGACATAGACTACATTATTTGCTCTTTGGGAACGCCCAGGGATTGTCTCAATTACAATACTTCAAATTTACCCCTTTGAGTTTTTCTTTTACTGAGCAGTCGCTGGTCGATCTCCTCATAGACTGCCTCCGGCAGAGTCTTTTGCTTCCTCCTAGAGAGCACTGTGAGAGAGACAGAGAGAAACATGGAGCCAGTTCAGGAGATGAGAAGACTGATGACAGATTGACTAATGATGTGAATATACAGAAAGTTGACTGTAGATTAATCTACCTCTCATGAGAACTCTGTTCCGGTAAAACAGCACAAACAGAAGCAGTAAGGCCAGGAAGAGCACTGCTCCCAGAACCAGGAGAGACACTGGATAGGTGAGTGAAGCAGCTGGTGATGGAGTTTGTGGAGGAATGACTGCTTCTGTCTCGACCAGCTGAAAATAAATACAAATTCTATGGCACACTGCATTTAGAAACATTTAGAAGAAAAAAAACACATATTTTAATAAAAACAGTACCTGTGATGGTAATGGTAGTTACTTTGGATGTAACAGTGGGGGATACAGATAGGTCTGAAAAAAGAAAAGCATAATAATTATAAACATATTATAAACAATAATAAACATAGAACTTGCCACATAGTCAGAAACTGTGGTTTCTACATGGTGTGAGTGAGTACTATTTCAGGATAAGTTTGTTCTAGGGTTGGATCAAATTCTTTCTCTTTTGTTCTCTTTGATCTCCCATTCAACATTTTTTGCTGACATCATCGCTATAATCAACATAAATATGCCATCTGGCATCCACATAAGACCAAAAAGATGTCAATTGCCAAGACACTTTTGTTGATGTCAGCTACACAGAAGAATCTTCAGGGCTAGAAGATGAAGTCAGATAGACCCTGAGATCACTGCCAAATAAGAAGGTCACAGGTAATGGAATACACTGCAATGGAAATATTCCAAGATTCTGAAGAGGATTCAATTAAAATGCTGAGAAAATGATGCCAACAAATCTAGAAAAACACCTCAATGACTTGCAGATTGGAAGAGGTCTGTTTATGCCCTAAGAAAAAAGAATGGAGACAAGAAAGAGTGTGAAAACTATTGTACAATTTCTCTGTCACACATCACTAAAATTATTCTTGAGATCATTCAACGCAGGATAGAGCCCTACATGGAATGAGAACTGCCAGATGTGCAAACAGGATTCAGGAAAAGGCAGAGGAAGAAAATGGCATGTAATGGACAAACAGAGTGCTTCCACACTGGCAAATGAGTTAGATAAGGGTGCACGCAAGATGGTTGAATACAATCAGAGGACTCATGGATAAGCTATTCAAAAGCCTGAATATGCAAACAGAACACAGAATATTCTGTAGAAACACTATCCATAAGGAGCTGGAATCGACTTGATGGCACAATAAGAATGAAATCAGGAATGAAGAATTTCAAGTATCAACTCTCCCAAATTAACAAAATGGAGAAGATGAAGGCGACAGTAATTACAGCAACACACACAGCTAGAATAAGTATTACTTTTTGTGTGTTTTTTATTTTTTATTTTTTGTTTCAGTTGGACACTCTATAGCTAATAAAATACCCAATGCTTAATACTACATTCTCCTCCACTACTTAATGCTTTATATTCTGGCCTGTAACCTTAATGCAAATTAACAATGTTATAAACAAACTCAAGTACACTGATGCTGGTCTGGATGATTTTAAGCCAGTGTGTTAAATAAGCATCTTCCATTATTTTTTAAACCATTATTTCACCTCTTCAGCCAGCCCATAATTACTGGTATATATCCTGATGAACTGAAATGGGTCAAGTTATACAAGTTATGATATAAATACAAGCGTTATATCACGTACCAGTACAGTTACCGGAAAAAAAAATTCTCAAGAAGATCAGTGCTTTTAAAAATGTGTAAGTGTTTCTTGTTACTGGGTAAATACCAGTAAATTACACTGTAATAGTCTTATTTGGAAAAAGTTCATAAAAATGTACAGTACCCTCCACAAATGCAGGCACCCTGAGTAAACATGGCAAACATGGGCTGTAAAAAGTTGTATTGCTTATCCTTAAATCTTTCATTCAAAATATTAAGAAAGAACTAACCTTCATTTAAAGTACAATTCTTAAAATAAAAAACAGTAACTTTACAATAAAAAACAGAAACTTTACTTGTCATGCAATAAATATTTGTCTTAACTCACAATAATGCCACAACTGTTGTCAACCATAGAGATTCTTATGAGTGAAATCTAAATAAAGTATATTATCATTCATATTTTATGTTTTAAAGAGTGATTAGGAACAGTTAAATGGTCCACCATGACTTACACTATGAGAAAGACCAGAGAATACAGCAGTGGTGTATTGCTTCATACAGACCTCATGCACAGTGAGGAGGATGGAATGAAAGGCCAAAGAATCTACAAGGATCACAGCTGGAGAATTGTAGACACTAGTTAGGTTTTGGGGTCAGAATGTCTCCCAAACTACAATCAGACGTTAATGGAAATTTACTGGACTGTGTTCTATGGTTAGATGAGACCACAGAAAACCTGTAGGGTGAGCAGAAGATGAGAGTCTACAAACATGACATTACAATCTGAAGGATCTGGAGAGATTTTTGATGGAAAATGGTCTCATATCCCTTGTCATGTGTTCTCCAGTCTCATTAAGCATTATAGAAGAAGGCCCAGAGCTGTTATCTTTGTAAAAGGAGGTTGCACAAAGTATTTAATGATGGGGTGCCAGTAATCGTGACACAAATGTTTATTACATGATAAAATTTAGGTTTTTAATTTAATTTCAATCACTGTACTTTAAATAGAGGTTAGATTGTTGGTAATATTTTGAATGCAAGATCAAAAGGATAAGCAGTTAATGATGTTTTTTACAGCCTGTTTTGCTCATGTTTAAAAAGGAGGGCTGGAGGGCACTTTAATTTCCCTCACTTTATTACACATGCATTATACTACTAAACCATCAGTATCAGTGAAATGAATATATGTAACATAAACGTTATGTATGGACCTAATACATGTAAAACACCTCCCTGTGTGTTTGTGTTTTTTAATTGTTGTTTTTAATTGAATGTTTGATTTTATTTTTTTATTTTTTTCTGTCTGTGGAAAAGTACTGTGGTGTACAAGCCCACTCTCTCCCACCCTTTTTTTTTGTTAACTTTCCCTGCACATTGAATTTGCCTTGAAAATAGTTAACACTTAGAGAAAAATGTTGACGAGGTCTAAAACCCTGAAAGTAACTGACTTCTCTGACCTGTACAGGTGACTCCAGCGTCCTGCCTGTGGGAGCAGTCAGTGTGGTTCTTCAGGGAATGAGGACAGTCCCACAGGTGAATCTCATTCCCTCTACACTTCACTCTGTTCAGCCAGATAGGTCCTTCACCAGCACCAAAGACAGCACTCCCATCAGCACTCAGCGCCGGCCCACAGCCCAGCTGCCTACAGACCACCTGAGCGTCCTTGATGTCCCACAGATTATCACAGATGGATCCCCACTCAGCGTTATGATACACCTCCAGCCTCCCAGAGCAGATTCCTGTTCCTCCCCTCAGTCTGACATGCAGGTGATCTACATCACACACATCACACAAGGAAATACAAAACTGAAGCTTACATAAGGTTAACTTGACAAACATTTCCAAATGTATACAGTAATGATATACGATGGGAGTGCAGGAACACTTCAACAGTATTAACACTACTAAAAACTGAACTCAATTATTAGGTGTCCTTACTCGAGCATTGTCTGTGGTTGGGAAATGAGCATTTCAGATGGTTTTGCAGTGCAAGGTATTTTTTCTCTCCTGTTGGTTCTGAAAAATATAATTAATTCATTAACACTCAAAAATCCCAGGTTGATTACAGACTAAAACATATTATTTAGTAACTACAGGAACTTCTATGTAAACTTGTTGAACTATCCTTAGGTTCTAGAAGTGTGTAATAAAATTATGGGCCTGCCAGTGGGTGCTGGCCAATTAAGGGGTAAACCATTGAACAGCTGTTCTCACTTATTTAACTTTGAAAAACACAAAATAATAGCAGGTATCTACTTATTTCATTGAACAGTTCTCTGATTCTTCTGCCGTAATCTTTAAGTCTACTTTTAGACAGATGTATGTTTGCTCACAGTAATATTTTCAAGAAACTGCCTACCCGAGCAAGTAATGTGCGCCACTTCATCACTATTATCACAGTTGTTCTGTCCCCAGGGTGAAGATGGACACTGCCATACAGTAAAGTCATGTTTCCTACATTTCAGATCATCCAGCCAGTTAGGAGCTGATTTCACTCTTGCTTTGGTTTGGCTCAAACTGCCTTTTCTTCCACAGTTCAGCTCCTGACAGATCAAATTAATTGTTTCCTCCTCCACATCATTTAAACACACATTACCCCAGGTTCCATTGTAGAACACTTCCAGATTCCCCTTACAGCCATCAGTGAGTCTGATCTCTTTAAACTCTGGTGGGAGAAAGACACTTACTATTAAGTCTTCAGAATCAACATAGTGATACGTTTCATCTTCTAATTAAGCAGATTTTTATTTATTTATTTGTTATTTTTTTATGACAGTAGTGATAAATTACATGTCTGCACACTGCCTACATTATTGTCAGTCATCATGTTACCTGAGCACATGACTCCTACATCGTCCTTGTGTCCACATTCATTTTCTCCACACAGCTGAAATCTGCATTTCCACAGGGACGCCTCGTTCCCCTCACACTCCACCTCATTTAGCCATATGCGTCCAGTTCCAGGTCCAAACTGGGTTGGTACCGGAGCACTGAGGGCCACTCCACACTGCAGCTGTCTGCACACCACCTGAGCATTCTTAATATCCCACAAGTCATCACTCACTGTCCCCCATGAGCCACTGTGGAAAACCTCCAGCCTTCCTGCACAGTCTCCCCCAGAACCAACCAGCCTGATGGAGCTGTGAGCTAAAACACACATACAAAACCACAAACAGAGAAAGAGACTCAGTTCAAAGACTGAACATGACTTCCAAGTTCCACCTAAGTATGACTTGTTTGTTCCACATACATAATGTTTATTTCTCATAACAACGCTGATGATAATGTCACAAGCATTAAGGATTATGCTAATGTGTATTTTACTGAAGTAGAATTAAAAGGATCTATTTATGTTTAGTTCAGTTTGTAGATATTAAACATTTAACATTTTAATTTCAAAATAGTAAAACTCTTAAACAGTACAAATAACTTTAATATCTGACACTGTAAAAAATAAATAAATAAAAAGGAAACTTGCTGTAATGTTACAATTTTAAGACACATTTTTTCTTCCAGTGGACTTTAAAATCATTTGACCTTTGGAAATAGCATTTTTCAGGTTAGACACAACATAGATAGGACTTTGTTTACCATTCTAAGGTTATATTTGAGAATACACCCAAATCTGAATGAAAACTTCAAATATCTGTTCAGGGAGAACTCTTCCATTTCAAGTGAACCAGACTTAGTATTTGTTTACGTAATTGTTAATGTAAAAAAAGGAATAAATAATAAAAATGTGTTATGATATTTTTTATTAAAAATAAAATTACCAAATCTAACATTCTAACTATTTAGTTCAGACTGCAGTCTCACAGTAAACAAATAAATAAATATTTAAAAATTCATTATTCAGACCTTTGATATTGTGGCATCGGAAACAGAAAAGCAGAAAAGGCCACTGAAAAACAGCCACAATACTAGGAAAGGCAACTTTTAGCCTGTTCTCTCTATGGTAGAGACACAAACCCACACTAACTAACCAACAGTCCAACACCACAAAACACTAACCACATCAAAACATAAACACATCTTAAACAAACAACAACATAAACAATAACAGCAACAACAAATGTCGTTTTAGCTGTGATTTTCATTTATTTCCACTTTTATTGCTGTTATTTCTCTCTCTTTCTGATTCCCTAACTGCAGCAAAATGTGTAGAATTGTGACATATTAAGGGGTTCATGTGACACAGGGTAGTGTGTGTAAACTAGCCCCTCACTGCCAACAGGTTAAGTTCACTAGCCTGCTACTAGTAGTTTTGCCAGCTTGTTTCATCTCAGATGCAGGGCCGCTGGAACCACGGTGCCCCACCACTTCTTAAAGTACTGTGGTGACGCCCCACTACTTTTTGGGTTCAGGACGAGCACATGAAAACCTCAGCTTTCCCTAAACTGCATGAAACACTGAACCTGTCAAACGTTTTCTTTAGTTCGAGTTGGACGTGAGAAACTTCACCCACATTCAGGCAACACCGAACACCTAAACCACGCTAATACAGGAGAGAATTCAACACCACTGCACGTTTTTTCCACATTTTCTCTATACTGTCTGCATAATCTGCTGCTTTAACATTGCACTCTTTACAAATGCTCACACACGTGACTGTTTGTTTTTGATTAGGCATTTTGCAGTGCTGGTTCCTGCACTGCAAACTGCTGTAAATAACAAAACACAAGCAATAAAATATTGATATGTGTCTGATTATGTTGTGGAACTAATTTTTGGCCAAATATCAGCGAGTCAGTGGCCTAATTGCACTGCATCACTCAGTACTCAGCCTGCTGAAACAGTATTTTTGCCCACCACTTTTGGAGGCATGGTTCCACCCTTGCTCAGATGTACATAACTTTGAAACAAATCTCCTCAACACATATTCTTTTTAATTCTCCTAAGGTTGTGCAACACAAACTAAATGAAGATCCCCTTTCTGACAATGGTTCAGTGCTGCAGCCTGCAATGTGTATTTAAAACTACACTGCTGCACTACATAAATCAACATAAGAACAAGGAGCTTGCTTCTGACTGGCTAATATGATCACTCTTGCTTTTGCTTCCTCCCACTAAAGCCCTGTTTAAGCTGGATTAGTTTTACCTGAGGATGTGCTGTAAATCGAATTATTACCAACAAGATCTGTGATTTTAATCCAGTACAAATCTGCAATATCCATAGTTTTTACAAGTCTGCTAAGTAATAATTCCAAGGTGAATTGATAAATGGTGCTTGATTTGACCCAACTCCCAAATCCTCCAGTTCATGACTACAATACTAAAATTCACAACAATTCAGTGTAAATCCCCCCCTCTTATATGCTTTGATTATTTAACATTTTGAATTGCTCCTGATAATGCATCACCCCACACAAAGTCTCCTCCATTGTCTAGTATCAAAATTTTACTTTTTTTTTTTTTGGCACCCTATTTAACATATAGACACACAATGTATTTTTATTGTTCAGAAGTCTGGCATGTGTTGCATAATGCTGAGGTAAACATCCGCACATTGATGTTTCAATCTGAGCTATTTGAGGTAATTTGGTGAAATTAGACAGATCCTTCATCCTGTATGAATTGGCCAGTCAAATCATGCACAAAGTACATGCTCAAATAGGGCTTAAGATACTTACTAGAGCAGGTGATTGAGAGCTGTTCTCTGGAGCTGCAGTTGACTGCTTCTGCGCTGCTGCAGTTCCCCAGATGAGCTTCACTCCCTGTACAGTTGAAACCCGTCACACACATGTGTCTGTGTTCAGGACTGGATGTAGAGGAGCTGGAGAAGCTGATCACAGAGCCACAGCCCAGCTGTCTGCAGACCACAGAGGCCTCAGACTCACTCCAGGAGTCCAGCAGAACTCTCCTCCAGTCCTGCCTGAAGTACACCTCCACCTCCCCCTCACACTCCATCCCTCCAGACAACCGCACTCGCCCCTCATTAAGTGCCAGAGGGGAACCTACAGAGAACATTCACCATAAAAATATATTTGATTTTACAGCCCTCATATATTCATCAGTTTTAATAGCACAAGAATTGAACATATTATAAATGAAACACACTGAGCTTTTTTGGTAACATACAACCACATTCAGAGTTGAGTTGAGATTGAACATGTCAATATTCAGATTTCAGAATTCAAAACATATCTATTGAAATAAGTTTTGAACTTAAGCGGCCAACTTAGGTTTCAACTTACAACCCATATACAACCCAAAACAAGTCATAGTGACATGATTCGTAGAGCTCACCACTGCAGATGACTCCAGCATCCTGTTTATGAGAGCATACAGTTCGACTCCATGATGAAATGGGACATTTTGACAGGTGTGTTTCGTTTCCCTGACAATCAAACACATCAGCCCAGATCTGGCCACTCCCCTCCCCAAACCAGTCTGACCCCAACACAGCCACAGCACTCCCACACTTCAGCTGACCACAGAGGACACTGGCAGCTCTCATATCCCAGCTCACATCACACACTGTGCCCCACTCACTGAGGTACTGGAGCTCCACTCGACCAGAACAGGTGTCCAAGCTGTTCACTAGTCGAGCCTGAGTGTGACCTGAAAACACAAAAAGCTTATTAAAACAGTAGGTAAACAGAAATGCTGGTACAATAAGTAATTTTGTATAATGTGAATTGGATAATGAATATAAAATAATGGAGAGCTCAAATATTATACTTAACCAGAACATATTAGTCCCACGTCACTGTCATGAGTGCAGTTGAGTCTCAGTGAAGATGATGTTGTACAAAAGGTAATCTCAGATTCATCCCCTCTACACTGAAGCTCCTCTGACCACATCTGACCCTCCCCTCTGCCAAAAGCAGCTGCTCCCAGCACCTCCACAGGAAGCCCACAGTCCAGCTCTCGACACACAACCTCTGCATCCTGCTGGTCAAAGCCAGCATTGCACACCGAGGCCCAGGTCTTCCCATGAAGCACCTCCACTCTCCCAGAGCAGCGATGAGGACCATCAATAAGTTTTGACTTCCTGTGACCTGAGTGGAATATAAACACATTTAAATACATACAAAAGTGGAAAGTTTACAAAAAGAAGATTATTTAAAAATTATTATTATTATTATTATTATTATTAGTGTTATTTTTTCTAACTTTATGGTACTTAAATTTTATAGGCAGGGTGCAGTAGATTCTAGATTCTGTGGTGGATATCAAGATTCTAAATATGCATGGACTTGACGTGCTAAACAACCAGCCTGGCAATGGAAAAACTTTTAGGTAGCGTTCCTAGCAGTAGTTACACACTGCAATGCCCATGCAACTCTGATTTGTGTAACATTGTTTCTAGTAACAAATAGCAGCCAGGCTGATCCAGATAATAAACCAAGGAAAGTGTACTTTCCCTGCAAGTTTTGCTTCTGTAATGGGAAGTATTTTATTTTATAGTAGAGTAAGTACTTAATATTTAATTGGTAGATATGTAGTACTTAGAAGTAATTTGCTGATACATACTTTGCAAGTGCATTGTATGTGCCAAGTATGTACAGCAGTACTTACTCAGAATTTAATATTAAATATGTATGATTTACAATTAATAAATATTTGATGCATAGTTTAAAGTTTAATATAGAACTACAGAAACTGATGTGATGAATATAAGGTATAATTCATCGTTTAATGCTAAGAAGATATATGGTAATGGGAAGTACTACCATGTAACCTTCTACATAGTATTTATACAGCAACCTTTAGTTTTCTTCTATTTGTGGTATGCAGAGTGTAACCATATATAGTGCTCACTTAGCCATACATAATGTTATTCATCAGATCTTGGTTAACAAACAATGATAAATAGTATGTGGTGGCTATATTGCAGTGTAATACATAGATGAATTAAGCAAAAACAACACACAGGATTAAAGCAAAAATGGAATTGTATTGTACTAATACAAGCTAACCAGTGAAACAAGATCTTCAGTACATATAGTGTCTGCATACACAAATATACAAATACAACATTAAGGCTTCTAAATACATAAGACAGAGTGCAGTAATGATTAAAACAGAATCAGTACAGAATCTAAGTGCACACAGCACTACAGCTCTCATCAGTCCCACATCAATGAGTCATGCGCAGATGGAATGCATGAAATCCCGGAAGACATGGACTGGAGTTCTGGACTGAATTGTACCAGACTGTTCTAATGCTCCATTTCAGCCTGTTTGAGATCAGTCACTGGCCTGTTAGCTTCTGCAACTAGACTTGTGAGTCTACATTTGTTTCTCCACTGTGCTTTTTGATCTTGTCCTTTTGGATTTTTCATTGTTTTGTAGATAGTGTAGTGTCCTGCTACTGGCTTATGCTTCCAGAGTCTTTGGGGAAGCGTGAGCCAGTAGTAGGACACTACACTATGCAGAGGGCCATGCAAAGAGGCTCATTACTATAAGACATTTACACTATAATAGACACCACTTATCATTGCTGTGCTTTAACCTAGATCAGATCCATAACATTATGGATGGTTTTGAACACTATGTATGATTTTGCTCTGAATACCACAAAGACAAGAAAACAAACAGTTGCTGTGTAAATACTGTGTACAAATTTACACTTTATTTTATAGTCCTGTTCCACCATATTACCAATAATTAATAACAACATCCATCATTGGCCATCAGCATCCTCCAACAGTCCTGCAAGTCTCTATCTGAAGCTGGTCATGATGTCACTAACATTGGTGCTCGTGCAGCCACAAACTCTCCTAGCTGGTAAACAATCATTTCCACACAAACCAACAGGGACTTTGGACAGAATTATCCTTGAGCCGGTTAGTGAGTATTAAAAAGTCAGAAGCAGTGGTTGCTACCAAGTTTAGACTTTTTCATCACTTCCTCTTAAACATGCCCCACTCTAAAAAGTCCCTCCTGACATCTCGCCCAAAGCATTTGACTGACAGTGAAAATTCAAACAGGATTGCAGTTGCAAATGGGTGATTCTTATTCCATTATGTCACAATTAGACCATTGAGACAATGAAAATGAATTGTTAAAAGCACATTGCTTTTCCATATTAGCTTTAACAGCCATTATGCACAGAAACGCAAATGCAAATACACATTTATTATCTGAATATGAATTATGCCTTAAATAATGCACACTCACATGGGAAATACAATTGTAAATCCACCACTGAAGTAGCATTTTCAAATTTGTATTCAAGTTTAAATAAAATCTAAAATATGCTGCCATATAATAGTAATTTACATAGAACTATTACAGAGTGAAAAACAAATGTGCATTTCAGCTTGTATATCAGTTAGAAGAAAACCTGGTAAATTCAAATGTTTCTGTTCCAGAAGCCTCTCAAGTCAAGCCAAAGTGATGCCTAGCTCCAAAACACATTTCAGCCCTAAATTCCTTATGGCATGGATGCATGGATTCAACAAGGTTTTGGGAAGATTCTTCAAAGATTCTGGTCCATGTTGCCCATGACTGCATCACATAATTGCTGCAGATTCATCAGCTGAACATTCATACTGTGAATCTCCTATTATGCCACATTTTAAAGGTGCGATAATGTATTCAGATCAGGAGACTGGAGAGGCCACTGAAGTAAACTGAACCCATTCGCTATAGAACAACTATTGGTCTATTGGTCATGGAACCTATTTAAGATCCTTTGTGCTTTGTGACATCATGATAGATGTAGTGATTAGAAGATAAAGTAATGCACATGGGAGCCATAAAAAGATGCACATGGTCAGCAACAATGCATACATAAGCTGTGGTTCAAACAATTCCAGCAATTTAACAATGCTTGATTGGTATCAGGGGGCCCAATGTTTGCCAAGAAAACAATTCCCACTATGTTTACAACCCACCACCACCTGCAAACTGTTGATCCAAGGCAGCTTAGGTGAATGGGATGGATTCATGTTGTTTATGTCAATTTCTGACCCTACTGATCTGACTCGCATGTTACAGCAGAAATTGAGGTTCGTCAGAACAGGCAAGATTTTTCCAATTTGTTTAGTTTTGTGTTCAGTGTTCTACTGTTTCTGATCTAGAGGTCAGCTGCTTGACTCAAAGTGCCAAAGTGGCCCAACAAAACATCAAGTTTTTAACTTTCCTCTTGCTATATTTGATTCATTGATTCAACTGTTCATATATATATAATCACTGAAATATATCATTGTGAATGTGAAATATATCATTACTTATTATGTTTACTTATTATGTTTATACATAAGTGGACTAGTTGTCACACCTTGTGTGGACTCTTCAAGTGTTACGGACTACATTTCCCAAGACACCTTGGGAAATCACGTGACGGCGGACTTAGAAGTCCGTAGAATCGGAGTCCCTCATGGACTCCATTACCCAGGAGTCAAGCGGGGATCATGTGATCAGTGACGATCAGCCTTGCACCTATCAGCGCGCTCATATATATATATATATATATATATATATAAAGCAAGAGTTTATATTAAGATTGACAAACATACCTGAACAGATAATTTCTGCATCCATATAATGAACACAGCTATGTTTGCCCCATCCCAGTGATCCACAGTTTTTCAGTGTAGACTCTGATCCACTGCAGTCAACATGACTCATCCAGATCGGTCCAGAACCTCCTACAGCAAGATCAATATTTAGTGGCTCCCCACAGTCCAATTGCCTGCACACCACTGCTGCCGCTATTACACTCCCACCAACAGCACAAACTGTTCCCCACTGTCCTCTATGAAGAATCTCCACTCTTCCAGCACAGCGACTGCCACCATCCACCAATCTCACACTGTCTGTGAGAGATATAAAAACAGAGAGAGAGAGAAAGAGAGAGAGAGAGAGAGAGATAATGAAGCAATAATGACAAAAAAAGGAGTCAACCAATACAACTTGTTTTAAATACAAAATGTGTTTCATATATGAAAAAAGTGATGTCCTAAATTCTAAAGTAAATACATAAATAAATAAAAACACTTACCAGCACATATCAGTCCCACATCGTTTTCATTGGTGCAGTTGTGTTTAAGTGAAGATGATGTTGGACAGAAGTGAATCTGAGATTCGTTGCCTCTACACTGAAGCGCCTCTGACCTCACCTGACCATCCCCTCTGCCAAAAGCAGCTGCTCCCAGCACCTCCACAGGAAGCCCACAGCCCAGCTCTCGACACACAACCTCTGCATCCTGCTGGTCAAATCCAGCATCACACACTGTGGACCAGGTCTCTCCATGAAGCACCTCCACCCTCCCAGAGCAGCGAGAACCACCAACCAGTCTGACTCCTGAAGTAATATTATGAGAAAATACAAATCATTCAAGGACATCTAATGACTTACAAATTTGAGTTTTACTAATTTTACTAATTTTATAAGAGGACATAATTGTTGTCATATCTAAAGTATTTAATCTCTACAAATGAACACAGCAAGAACAGTCAAAACTGGTACATGAGATCCATCTATATGTCCATTTGCAGAATGATTTATGAAGAAAACACTTAAAAATGTTGTGATGACTTTAACCCTTGCTACTTAATCAACCCTGTACTCAGAAGAGTGTGACTTTTTAGCCAGGGTGCCGACTCTTCCAATTCAGTTTGTTACTGTAACCTCATTGCCAAGTGGCCTACATTTACTGGTTTGCACACTATGTAGCTTGTTGATAAAAAGAACAACATTTGATTGATCTATGTTCTATGTTCTGCAACTATGGTCTTTGTGTATATTAACTGCAGTCAGACACATGAGAGGGAACAGAACAAATTCTACACAGTTTGTTCTCACCCTATCCAAAATTTCTCACTTTCGTCCTCAGATGTTCTCATTACGAGAAGACATCTGGCCCCACAAGACTATATGCTGAGACAGATCCTACCTCTATAGTACTGATTTCACCCTCAAAAATAACTATGCTTCCCTAACCTGGCTGCTGAGCCCAAGGGCCAGCTAACTAGATTGGTGGAAGGGCTTAGTATTTTCCATTGACACTGGTTCAAGGCAGCTGCATGCCAATGTGAAGCCAGAGGGCAGCAACGACTGAGACGCCAGAGCAGTGTGCAGCAGTGACTGTGGCTACTGACGGTTCTATCCGCCCTAGTTCATATCTGATTTGCCACCCAAACAAAATGACTCTGGAAACTGTTTGATCAGACCAGTGAAACCTTTCAGGCACATGAGGTAAAAGTTTTTCAGTGACAGAGGCTGCCTGTCAGAAAATCTATGGCTAAAGCTAACAGCTAAAGCTAATGTTAGCAATTACAGTAACCAAACAGTAAACTTACCTTAGAATCACTTGTTATTATCTTTTTACACTGAACTATGAGCTAGGTGTTTTAGGAGTTTAATCCAAAACACTTTCATCTTCAAAAGTAAATAAAAATAACACCACCTTTCGGATGATAAGGACAGTGTGTGTCTGAATAACACATTCCACAGTAACACCTTCTAACCATATTTTCACCAGTCCAATAATTCTGACTCATTACTACCCATTCTATTCACTATAGATTTGTTATGAACAGTTCTGTTGGAGTTTTGCCTTCACTTAATGGAAAAGTAATGTTTAGAGATAGTGGATAAGTAGTGATTGATTGAGAGGCGTTTTTGTCAATATTTTGCAAATGGTCAATTCAGTGTTTTTTAGAACACACACCAGTGTGAAGTGGTGCTGGCAGTTAGTAACCAATATGTAGCATGGCTTAATGCACTCAGACATACTGTGCAATTTCAGGTATTCTGGTGCTGCCCATGCCAAATTCCTGGCCTCAGCAATTGCTTAAATTGACTATACCAGGATCTGCTACTCATTGGAGCGGTAAAGTGATTTCAGTGAAAAAAAGCAGATTCCCAAGCTATGCAAAAGAGGGCCTATGACACTCACTGCTAAGGAGAGCCATGCCATGCTGCGGACTGAGTGTGTCTTTTTAGTCCAGGAAAAAAACAGCAACTTTTCTCCAACCTGATGGGTAATTGGGTAAGCACTACTGGAGTTTGTTTATTGGATGTGAGCTGGGGCAGGGCAGTGAACAATAGTGGTTCACCTGGACCGTTTAGCCACTTATTGGCCCTAAAAGATCATCATCAGCCCAACGATTGCTGTGTTATCCGGTAGGCGTAGTACTGAGTTTCCCTTATGGAAGAAAACATCTAGGATGAGCCTGTGTGTGACAGTGCCTCTTCTCACTCCAGGTCTGCTAATTAATATGTGTTTATTGGAACTGGGCATTTCCAAGTTACCTGCTTTCACTGGCCTGCACTGCATGCAGTGGCAATTCAACTAAAGGTAAACCTTGTGATTCACCTTCATTGCTTCAAAATATATATTTGTCAACACTCTTATTGCTAAAAAGTACTGCTATGCTTATCTGTACCCAAAATATATAGAAACATATTAAACAATTCATAACTAATTCAACAAAGTGTGGGAAAGTGCTAATGTTAAGTAATTTAAAATTTTTCTGCATTCATAATATAATTTACCTGAACAGATGACTCCAGCATCTTTGGAATGATCACAGTTATGTTTACTCGAATCTAGTGAAAAACAATTCCTTAGTAAAGACTCTGATCCGCTGCAGTGCACATCACCCATCCAGATTGGTCCTGATCCTGATCCAAAGTGAGCATCACTCAGTGCATCTACAGCCTCTCCACAGCGCAGCTCTCTACACACCACTGCAGCATCTCTCATATCCCAGTTATCAACACACACTGTTCCCCACTGATCATCAAGAAGAACCTCCACTCTCCCAGCACAGCGACTGTCACCATCCACCAACCTTATACTGTCTGTACAACAGAGAGAGAGAGAGAGAGAGAGACAGAGAGAGACACAGAGAGAGAGCACCAAAGACAGTATGTAAAAACTTTGCTCTTCATATCAGTGCTATGATATCATCTGTAAATGTTGCAAAGAAAAACTATTTGTTGAAAGGTGAGAAAACAGAATTTTAATTTTATAAACAACCTTCACTGCTGCCAAAAAATGATATTAACTATGAATGCAACTCTTACCAGCACACACAAGTCCCATGTCATTATCATGGGAGCAGTAGGGATTGAGTGAAGGTGATGTTGGACAGAAGTGAACCTGAGATTCATTCCCTCTACACTGAAGCTCCTCTGACCACAACTGACCCTCCCCTCTGCCAAAAGCAGCTGCTCCCAGCACCTCCACAGGAGGCCCACAGCCCAGCTCTCGACACACAACCTCTGCATCCTGCTGGTCAAAGTCAGCATCACATACTGTGGACCAGGTCTCTCCATGAAGCACCTCCACTCTCCCAGAGCAGCGAGAACCACCAACCAGCCTGACTCCTATAATATTATCATAGGAGGAAAGACAGTAATAACTCTATTAGTTAGCATTAAAATAATAGTATTAAAATAATATGTTTAACAATTAATGATGATGAATGTAAAAGTTTTTAGATAGAACAATTTGATGGATAGACCTTCAATGTCTTGGGACTTTCATTAACAATGACAGACATAAACAGGTGACACAAAACCCAAATAAATGAGAGAAGAAACACAACAAGTATAGACTCTTCCAGACAGATACACTGTTGATCAAAATAAGTATTTAAAGTCCTGCTGTGTTCTGTGACATGATGATCCATTTTTTAGCCACAAATGGCAGGATATTCAGTCATAAAGATTGCTCAATTGGCTAGTGGCTATTATAGTAGAGTTGCAGTGCATAAAGCTATCATTAAATGAATGTTCACTGAAGAGTTCAGTAGTGCAACCATAGGCACTGGTCTACAGGAATGTTCAAAAGTGATATACCCAGATCACTCATCCTTCATCATATTCACCATAAATGCACTAGTGCATGTGTGGTGAACATCAAGAGAATGGTACTGGCCTGAATGCTTGATCCCTATAGCTAGGGATTCCAGTAGCTCTATTATGCTATGAGGGACATGAAGGCATGTAATGAGTCCATAGGTCCTTGCAGAGAGAAGAGTTATGAGGAAATATTCTGATTAATCAAGAAAAAACATTTCTTTCCTGATCGGAATGGTCTTTTCCAGGAGGACAGTCCACAGTAGTCACTGAATGGTTTGATGAGTATGAAAATGATGAAAATCTCATGCCATGGCTTTTGTACACTATAAAAAGTGGTAACTTAAAAAAAAACTGACTTCATGTGGTAACAAGCAAATGAAATAGTTTTTCAACTCAAATAAATACTTTGAATAAAATGCTGGTTCATTTAAATAATTTATTTAAGTTGAATAAAACTAGTTTCACCACTTGTTGCCACATGAAGTAAATTTTTTAAACTGACAAACCAATTTTTAGTGTATTCACCATAACTTAATGCAACACCTGTGTTACACAGCTCTCCCTACCACCACCATCATCACAACACCAACTGGGCGGATATCTTTTCAAAGTATGGTGTTCCATCACCCATCCAGTACATTTCCACATTTAGAATATCTACTAAGGTTCACTAAAATTCTTCTGGTGGACTAAGACACTTCATGTTGGTGTTACCTTTACTTTTGCATCCATCTATAGGCATATTTGCAAATGTTTAGGTATATGATTGCCAAAAGGTTTTAAATTCAGTGACATGGCAAAAGGGAGCAAATCATGTTCGAATAGAAAAGTAGACTGACTCATTTTTTTAGTGTAACTTACCCGAGCAAATAACACCAGCATTTGTTGATTGATTACATGCATGTTTATCCAATATATTTGACTGGCATTTCTTCAGTGTAGACTCTGATCCACTACAGTCCACATCATTCATCCAGATTGGTCCTGTTCCCAGACCAAAGTGAGCATTACTCAGTGCATCTCTGGCCTCTCCACAGTCCAGCTCTCTACACACCACTGCAGCATCTCTCATATCCCAGTTATAATCACACACTGTTCCCCACTGTCCTCTATGAAGAACCTCCACTCTCCCAGCACAGCGACTGCCACCATCCACCAACCTCACACTGACTGTACATGAGAGAAAGAATGGAAGTGACATGAAAAGATGGAGAAAGATGAACATTATTCAAGCAGAACCAGATGGCTGCAGACAGAAAATTAAACCCAGAGATACATTTTAAACCTGAGGTGAGTAAGAGGAATACAACTATAAAGATATATTTCTTACCAGCACACACCAGTCCCACATCATTGTCATGGGAGCAGTAGCGATTGAGTGAAGATGATTTTGGGCAGAAGTGAATCTGAGATTCGTTCCCTCTACACTGAAGCTCCTCTGACCACACCTGACCCTCCCCTCTGCCAAAAGCAGCTGCTCCCAGCACCTCCACAGGAAGCCCACAGCCCAGCTCTCGACACACAACCTCTGCATCCTGCTGGTCAAAGTCAGCATCACACACTGTGGACCAGGTCTCTCCATGAAGCACCTCCACTCTCCCAGAACAGCGAGAACCACCAACCAGCCTGACTCCTAAAATATTATTTACAATTAACATTATAAACAACATAATAAATACACAGTGTATACAGTGTTTGCAAAGGAATAATGATTAACCATTAAAGTTACATGAAAAAAATGGCTGCACACCTGAACAGACGACTCCAACATCTTTAGAATGATCACAGTTATGTTTACCCCATCCTGCTGATCTACAGATCTTCAGTGTTGACTCTGATCCACTACAGTCCACATCATCCATCCAGATTGGTCCTGATCCTGATCCAAAGTGAGCATCACCCAGTACATCTACAGCCTCTCCACAGCGCAGCTCTCTACATACCACTGCAGCAGCTTTCATATCCCAGTTATCATCACACACTGTTCCCCACTGTCCTCTATGAAGAACCTCCACTCTCCCAGCACAGCGACTGCCACCATCCATAAGTTGCACACTGTCTATATAACAGAGGGAGAGAAAATAAAGAAAGAATTCAATTAATTGTGAAATACAAAATTGCACGTTATATGTTATTTATCATTTACACATCATATTCTGTATTTTTGCAGAAACAGTAGAGCCTCCATATTGAGCTATTATTCAATTTTTGGTCAACTTACTAACCATCTGATTAGAGTGTACTACGCATTAGCTGGCCACTAGTTAGTTTCATTTTTGTTTTGTTTTCATTTAAGTTAAAAAGAAATGCGAAGAGAGAAAACAGGAAAAAAAACAAAAGAGACAGCATCTTGCCTCCATCCTCCTCTGGACTGCCTTTTCTGGGCCTGGAGTGGCCAACTGGCTGGCCCATGAAATGAGCAGTGAGTGGATGGGGCCACATTATCAGCCACTAAGCCGCTGGAGGAAAAGCAGCACTTAGCACCGCTAGAATGGGACTGGTGCACGTGATGTTTTGGGGAGAAACACCAAGTGGAGATCTGCACCACCAGGAGGAGCTCTGCTGCTGCTGTCTGCCCCCTGAGGACTCGGATGAGGACAACAATACTGTGGAGTGGGTTTTTTCGGGCCTGGGAAGGTCAACATCCCTGTGTGGACCCTCGTGGATGTAGACCTCCTCCTACTGGAGGACGAGGAGCATGGCACAGTGGAAGCCCATGCTCCCATCCGCCTAGACCTGGTGTCTCCCTCATGCCTGAGCTTGGCTTCTCCCTCTCTCTCTTACCCCTTGCATTCTTCTGGAGGTGGGTCTGAAGGTGAAAGAGAACTCTCTCTGTCCAGAGTGTCTGCTACAGCCCAACACCTGAGCACTGCGGGGGGCTCCAGACAGCACCTCAGAGCACTAGCGTAGGCAGCACCCCCTGGTGTCCTGGAAGGCACCCCAGAGCTGCCAGCATTCACAGCAATGCCTGGTGTCCAGGAGGGAACACCAGTGTCAACAGCACCACCTGGTGTCCTAAATGACACCCCAGCATCAACAGTGCTACCTGATGTCCTCAGCATCGGCAGCACCACCTGGTGTCCTGGAAGGCACCACAGAGCTGCCAGCCTTGACAGCACCACCTGGTGTCCTGGAGGACACCCCAATGTCAACAGCACTGCCTGTGTCCCAGAGGACACATCAGTGTGAACAGCACTGCCTGGTGTCTCGAGGTATACCCCAGCATCAGCAGTGCTGCCTGGTGTCCTGGAGGACACATCAGTGTGAACAGCACTGCCTGGTGTCTCGAGGTATACTCCTGCATCAAGAGCGCCGCCTGGTGTCCTGGGGGACACCCCAGTGTTGACAGCGGAGAGTGCACCAGAGTCGCCGCCTACATTGATGTCACCACCTGATACTCTGGAGGGTGCCCTTGAGCTGCTGCCCACATTGATGGCACCACCTGCTGCTCTGGAGAGTGACCCAGAGCCTCCTCTCACATCAACATCTGCTTGCACCAAATGCACCACCTGGATGCCAGGAAATCTCCTGCAATGGCCACACCATCACTGTGTGCCCCTGCCTACACTGAACCCCATTTAGAGGCTCCGCTTCTCCTACCCCGCCTCTTTAGTGTCGGCTCAGGCACCAGAACATGCCTCACCTTCGACCCTAGCGGCTGTTCACTAAGGGAGGGGGACTGTGGCGGTGGAGAAGCAAAGCCACCATGAACACGCCCCACTTCTCTTCTCCCTGATTCAACACAGCTGAGGCGATTGTCGCTGTCCATGGAAAAACAACATAACAAAATAACTTTACAGGAAAGGGCAAAAACACTCTTACCTTTTAATGTAAGTTAATGCAAAGAGGCTTTATTCCAAATTATTTTGAAGCATTTCTATTTGTCCAATCATCATGAAATTTTCACACACAACAAAGGACAGCTAGTGTGTTAAAATGACATAGAAAAATAAAAATTGACAAAAATGGAGATACATGTTTTTATTGGACAGTGACGATAGATACAAGCTTCATATTTATGTTATAGATGGTCTAGGGATGTGACGATACAAAATGGTACGCGACAGAGATCAGGCTTACACATAAATAGAAAGTATGCTCCTGTACAAAGTTTATGACCCTAATGGATAAAGTGGTCATAAAAGCCCTTCTGAAGGCAAAGTTTTCAGGCCAGACATCTTCACAAAGCATCAGCAAAAAGGGCTGTTTTATCTCAACCGTCAGGAAAAATGACAGACCAAAGCCATAAAGCAATCAACACCGCACAGATGCGACTTAAGAGGGTCAGCCTCTGTGACCTGTAAGGCTCACGACTGAGGAGTTACACGCA